CGGTCGGGGGGCCGGGCCTTATCCGCCAGCACCGCCGCCGGGGGCCGCGGGGGCTGCAGCGGCGGCCCGGGGGGCGCGCACAGGGAAGCCGGGCTGTCCTGCCCCGCGTCCAGCTGCAGCGTCTCGCCGATCTGGGCCACCAAGCGGTCCACCTCGCCCGAGCCCCCCAGCGTCACCGACCGCTCCAGCAGGAGGAAGTTTCCCTGGTCCTCCCTTCTTTCCTCCCCCCTCCGCTTTCTCCCCGGCTTTCCTTTTTCCTCTTTCCCTCCCGGCACGGGCATGGCCCCCCCGCCCCCCGGCACGGGAGCTCTGCGGGCGTCGCTGGCGGCTCTGTGGGCCGCGGCGGAGCCGGGCGCGGTGCTGGGGCCGAAGCCGGGCAGGGACCCGGGCCAGGGGCCGGAGTGGACAAGGAAGCCGGGGACCCACGGGCACTCGTGCCGCGCGTTGCACCGCGGCAGCCAGAATCCTACCGGCTCCGGTTGATTTGTAAACAATGGGTGACGTCTCCGTGGGGCCCTACCACCGTGCCGGGCGGGGGGGTGCCGTACTGATGGGGGCCGGGGCGCCCTCTGGGTCCAGGCCCAGGGTGGAGCCTTGCTCCGTCTGAGCTTCACAATCCTGAATGCTGTCTGCGGGGGCGCAGTGGGGAGCCGATCCTCGCTCTCTTAGGAGGGCGTGATGGGCATTTCCGGCAGATGGACACCGGGTGGGCTGTTGGTTTCTTCCACACACAACACCTACACTTACACGCCCACACACTCCTCTGCCCTAGCGCGTCAACTCCTCTGGTTTTGGCATTTGCGCTTTTGAGGTCCCTGGTGCCACCAGCGTCTGGGCAGTGACGACCGGGCGAGTTAGGCGAGGATGGAGAGGAGGACTCAGGTTAGGAATTTGTCTGGAGGTTAGGCAAACGAGGCTGACAGGAAAGGAGGAAGGGGGCCCCGTGGTGCAGATGGGGGTGGCAGAGTTGGAATTGGCAAAGAAAGACCATACATTAATGTTTCTTGATCAGGAGCATGGGTATGTGGGGACTTGGACTGTGGCTGGCATTACTGTAGAGGACAAAGTTGCTAGCTCTGAGCTGGAAAGTGGCTTTAAGAAGAATGCCTCAACCCAGTAGGGGAGTATTCTATTTAAGAGGGTGTCAGGGAAAAAAAAAAAAAGAGGGTGGCAGAAGAGGAAAATGGTGAGCTGTTTGGATGGAAGCGGAGATATAGGCCACCTTAACCCTCCAAGATATCATGATTGGTTTAATGATTAACCAAGATTTATTTTTATTGATTTTTTTAAAAGAGAGAGGAAGGAAGAGGGAGAGAGAAACATAGATGGGAGAGCGAAGCATCCATGGGCCGCCCCCAGCATGCCACCCACCTGGGATCTAGTCTGCAAGGCAGAAAATCAATTCTTTCACGTTGCCTGGAGGTTTTACACCTTTATTCAGAACCCCAAACCTCTCAGGTCTAACTCTAAACACTACACTCATAGTGCTTTTGGTGGACCAGCCTTTACAAGCCAACCAGGGGAGGGATTTTAGCAGAGTGATGAAAATATCCAAAATTGCATTGTGGTGATGGTTGGACAACTCAGTAAATTTACTAAACATCTGAATGTTCACTTAAAACGAGTGAATTTTTATGTAAATTGTACCTTAATAAAGTTGTCTTTAAAATTAGCCACAGCCCAGCTGGAGTGGCTTAGTGACTGAGCATTGACCTATGAACCAGGAGGTCACAGTTTGTGTGGGGCATGCAGGAAGCAGCTGATCAATGATTCTCACAGAAGCCAGATAGTAGGGAGGTATTTTAAAATACTGAGCAGGAGAGCAGCGTGATTTAGAAGGGAGTGCAGGAGGAAGAAACTGGAATCTGGGGATCCAGAGAAGTAGGAACAGGGGTCTTGGTGGGCAGGTCCAAAGATGCTAATTACTGGAGCAAAACTTTAGGGAGGGATGGAATACCTGGGAAGTTATTTAAAATAAAAGGGAATTGGCCTGTTTTTGCCATGAGTGGAGGGAAAAAATGTGAGAATAAAGAGACAGTTTGAAGAAAGCCATTGAATTTTTGGAAATCTTGGAAACACAGATTTCTATTGGGTGTCATACATTTATATCTCATTTTAGTGGATTTCTTAGCATTTTCTCCATATGAAATTATGTCATCTGCAAATAGACATCATTTTACTCATTTTTAAATTGGGATGTCTTTTATTTTTCTTGCCTAATTGCCCACGCTAGAGCCTCTAGAACAGTGGTTCTCAACCTTCCTAATGCTGCAACCCTTTAATACAGTTCCTCATGTTGTGGTGACCCCCAACCATAAAATTATTTTCGTTGCTACTTCATAACTGTAAGTTTGCTACTATTATGAATCGTAATGTAAATATCTGATATGCAGGATGTATTTTCTTTTTTTTTTTAAAATACATTTTATTGATTTTTTACAGAGAAGAAGGGAGAGGGATAGAGAGTTAGAAACATTGATGAGAGAGATCGATCAGCTGCCTCCTGCACGCCCCCCACTGGGGATGTGCCCGCAACCAGGGTACATGCCCTTGACCGGAATCGAACCCGGGACCCTTGAGTCCGCAGGCCGAAGCTCTATCCACTGAGCCAAACCGGTTCGGCAATATTTTCATTGTTACAAATTGAACATAATTAAAGCATAGTGATTAATCATAAAAACAATATGTAATTATATATGTGTTTTCCGATGGTCTTAGGAGACCCATGTGAAAGGGTCATTCGACCCCTAAAGGGGTCGCGACCCACAGGTTGAGAACCGCTGCTCTAGAACAATATTGAATAGAAGTGGTGAAGGCAAATGTCCATGTCTTGTTCCTGTTCTTAGAGAAAAGCATTCAGTCTTTTACCATTAAGTATGCTGTTGGCTATGCGTTTTCATAAGATGGCCTTTATCAGAGTGAGGCCATTTCCTCCTATTCCTGTGTTTTTTGAGCATTTTTTTTTTTTATCGTGAAAGTGTCATCTCCTCATTTTAAATAATTGTTCACTTGAAAGTGTGGTCAAAGCAACCGTTTATTAGCTAGAATATTCTGAACCTAATTATTCAAAAATTTCAGATGAAAATAATTAAAGCAGTTTGTGTTTTTATTCTTTAGCTCAAAATCTGTAAACCTCATACATTGTGTGGGAATGAAAAATGATACAACTGCTTCTGAAAAAGATGTGGCAGTTTCTTGCAAAACTAAACATACACCTCTCCTATGATTCAATTCCATTCCGAGATATTTACCTAAGAGAAATAAAAACATAGATGTGCATCAAGGCCTACAGGCAGATCATCGTAGCAGCTTTATTCATAAAAGCCATGAACTGGAAACAGCTCAAGTCTTTATCAACAGGTGAATGAATAAACTATGGCACATTCATAATATCATAATATGATAATACTTTCGCAACAAAAAGAATGGAAGTATTGCTGCATGCAATGCCATGGATGAATCTCAAAAAGAGTGCTCTAAGAAAGGGAAGCCAGAGAAAAAAAAAGTACCTACCATATGATTCTGTTTATATGAAATTCCAGAACAGAAAAAATTAATTTACAGTGGGGAAAAAATCAGAAGACTGAGATTGCCTTTGGAGAGGGTGGGGTCAGGGCAAGGACTGAGAACAGGCCTGAGGGAAGTTTAGGGGTAGTGGTAATGTTCTATATCTTGGTAGCTTTCATTTGGGTTTCACGAGTGTATGTATGTGTTAAAACACATTTTATTTATTGTATATAAATTTTACATGAAAAGAAAGAACTGTAAACAAATATTAAATTCTGGTTAATAGACATGCTAATGAATTTAGGGGTACAATTTATTCTCAAGTGCACAAAAATGAGATGGATTAATATATGGATAAAAGGATGGGTAAGACAGGTAGATCTATGATAAAACATGCATAATAAAGTGTTAATGTTGCCTGGCCAGCGTGGCTCAGTGGTTGTGTCCACCTATGAATCAGGAGGTCAGGGTTCGATTCCCTGTCAGGGCACATGCTTGGGTTGCGGGCTCGATCCCCAGTGGGAGTCATGCAGGAGGCAGCTGATGAATGATTCTCTCTCATCATTGATGTTTCTATCTCTATCTCTCTCTCCTACTCCCTTTCTCTCTGAAATCAATAAAAATATGTTAAAAAATAAATAAAGTCACTAAAAAAAGAAAGTAAATTTAATGTTATGTGAAGTGAAGTATATCTCAATTTTTAAATGCTAAAACATTAATAGTTGGATCTAGGTGTTGGGGAATAGGGTAGTTCACTCTCAAATTCTTTCAATTTTGTTGACTGTTTGAAAATGTTGAGAATAGCATATTTTTTTAAAAAGCTCTAAAAAAGGAGCCATTCATTTTGTGACTTCCTTTAGAATTGCCCAGGGCATGTGGGGGCTGAGGGCTGTCTAGTGGGAAAGAAGGGAGGAAGCGCTCACCCTGCTGGCCAGTTGACAGGGGAATTGTGTGGACTCATTCTCTGGTGTTGAAAGGATGTGGACGGTCGGCTATGGGTTGACTAAATTCTTGCCCACTGTGGAAGATTTCACACTGTATGGCAGCAATGGGGCTTGACACCTTTAGAGGTTAGCAGCCATCCCTGAGTGATGGGCTGGCTCCTTTACTAATTCCTTCATTGCCTCCCAGCTCCCAGATAGCGAGGCTGTGGGAGCTGGGCTGGTTGGGGAGGAGGGATTTGTACTGAGAATTTTGAAGAGATTAGGGGACTCACACTGAGATGCAAGGAGGTGCTAATGGGGTATTAAACACGCCTCCGTAGCGTAACAGGTGAAAGCTGGAAACCTAAAGGCAGAAGCTGAAAATGTATTGAGCTGTTGATAGGATGGAAAAGATAACAGGTTTAAACAGGGTTTTAGGAACAGGTGGGTCTGTAACTGGTGTTCCAGCTTTGGGCTAACACTGATGCAGCAGTGAGGAATATTTTGCTACTTATAAAAGTAGAAAGGACTCAAGACGGGAGTATGTGTAGAGCAAGCATGTCAAACTCAAAGGCTAACACAGGCCAAATAAACAAGGTTTGAGTTTGTGTGGGCCGCAAAAAACCAAAAGCTTCAATTTTCATAGAAACGTAGGTTTATGTCTAAAAGTATAGTATAAAAAAAAAGAACAAGAGCAATGATAAAATTAATGTTTTCTTCCTGACCTTTGGCATCTCTTCTCTGCTACTATCTTTCCTACTTTGGGGGAAATTTGTTCGCAGTGATTACTTTCAAAATTGACCCAAGGTGAATGTCAGTAATTCTGGACCTGACAGGAGACTTATTTCCTT